CTCCAAGCAGAACGCCCCATTCTGCAGGGCTGCATTCATTTTTCTTTTTCTTTTTTAAATTTTTATGACTTTTTTACGTCGGACCTTGGCATGTCCGATGTAAATTTACGTCGGTTTTCGCGCCCCGACGTAAATTTACGTCTCCCGCTTCTACGTCGAAAGTTTTTCTGACGTAAAAACCCCTAAAATGACCAACATAAAATGTGTATTGTGTACTAGTGTAACTAACCAAAATGAGCTCTAAGTTATGGCCATATATTTTCCTAAAAATTCAAGTTCCCTATGCCACTAAAAGAAATTAATTTCCAGCTTATCTATGATCATGTGCATTGCCTTTTGTCTAGCTTCTCAGCCATCTCATATCTCTATCTCTTTCCCCCTCGATCAGATAATTATATAGGAGAATGCTTATATAGGAGAATGCTGAATAATGTACACCCCCATTTTAATTATTTATATTTTTTTATGCAAGTTACACATTTTTTATACATATTTTTGCCCATATATATAAATGGAAAGAAATGAGAGAAAGAGAGAAAAAGATAAAATAATAATAATAATAAACTTAATAGATAATGTGATGATATACATAATCTTATAGAATTACTTATAGAATTAAATATGGTGACATCATATATAAGTTTAAAAACTCATAAAATTTTATATCATAAAAAACTTTTTGTATAATACAAATTTAACTATTCTATGCATTGAATTATGTAATTATATATTCATAATTATATATATATATATATATATATATATATACTTTCCTGCAGATTTTCCTACGAATTTTTTTTTGCAAGAAACTTTCCTACAAATTTTTTTTTTGCAAGAAACTTTCCTGTGAATTTTTTTCGCAAGAAATTTCGCAGGAAAATTTCGTTCGAATTTTAGAATTCGCAAAAATATATATTATCCAAGAAGGTATTACCTGCCGATAAAATTTCGCAGAAAAATTAGTAAGAACAACGTTTCCTGTAAATTTTTCATAAAAACTCGCAGGAAAAGTCGCATGTAATAAGAGAAATTTTAGTAGTGTATAAACACGAAAACATTCAGGGATTCACTATGTTACAAACAAGTTTACAAGTACTCTTCCAAATTCAATAAATCAATAAGTTATTAACAAAAATAAAAATTACAAAGGATAAAAATTATAAAATAAAATAATTATTTTAACCTGGTTTGATAAATAAATAAAAAATTATCATAAAGTATATATCGTGAAAAATGTATAATTTCTTTTAAAGCAATTAAGCAATGATATGGAATAATTAGCAGGCCAACACAGCAATCGTGAACTTTTGCTTGAAAAGAAAGGAACTTTGTCTTTTAGTATTATAAAGGGAGGAAAAATAATTTGATTCATGCAGCAGCAACTACAACGATTTGATGCAGTGAATAAGGAAATGTTCTTGTGTTTCACAAGTTTGAATTTTCTTTTGTCTCTTTACAGTAAAGTAAATGTAAGAGTTCTTTGAATCTTTAAATATTTTTTTACATTAGACACTGATTGTTTTGTTTTACATCTACGTCATTCACTTACGTTAGGATTAAAAATAAAAGAAATAAACATGATATAAATAAAAGAAAAATAAGAAGAATTATTTTGAAAATTAAATTAAAAATAAAAATATTTTAAATTTTTCTTATGTTAAATAAAAATATATGATTAATTATGTTATTTTTTTCCTCTCTCATCCTAACACTTTGTTTTCTTTTTGTAGGAAAAAAAAAGTTTGAGAGAAATAAAAACATTATAGTTGACAATTGATCTTTTTTACTTTTAAAAATTCTCTCACACATAAACATATATATTCACAAAAATTATAATAACGGTGATGAAGTTAAAATTTAAAATCCTATATATACTATTTCAAATATATTATCATGAAGAAATGAAAATATTTTTTGAATTAAAAAATATATTTTAGGAAAGGAAGGCTTATGTAAGTATAAAGAAGAAAAAATAACTCATATATTATTTTTTTTATTTGAGATGTCTATGTCAATTGAAAGAGAAATATTGTTTTTTCGCTTGCTAAATAAACAACCTAAAAAAAGTTATCTTTCAACTTTTTTTTCACGTTTACATTCTAATTCAAACATGCCAACAATATGTTAATTCAATAGAAGGAAATAAAAGTAAAAGGTACGGATAAAAATACTTTTTATTTAATTTGAGAAATGATGAAAAAAAAATATTTTTCTTCTATTTTCTTTCAACTTAACCAAATTCTATAAGTTTTTATCCTGTATCCTCGTTTTCTTTCCTTCTTTCATCTATCTTTTGTTCTAAAAAATAAAAAACTTCAAGAAAATACTTTTTTCAAGATTTTATAAAAATGAATATACTATATAGAAAAATATATGATATATATGGGAGCATATCAAGTGAGAGGGAATTTATTATGAGAGATGAAAGGATTAAAATATAACCCTTAGATTAATTTTCTCTGACTTGATTAAACCCCAAAATTTTTTTCACTTGATTAATCTAAGGGTTATATTTTAATCATCTCATTTCTCATAATAAATTCTCTCTCACTTGATATGCTCCCTGATATATATAGGAGGGTTCAAACGACACCGGTGTAACTTTTACTAAGTGTTACACCGCTCAATAACTTTATATTAAATGTAAATTTTAAAAATCCAACCGTTAGATTGAAAGTTCATATCTCTTAGATCATATATGTCAAATTTTGTTAAAATTGAACAACAACTTGAAGGTAATCAAAGTGTTCATATTTTAGTATATTTTGAAATGTATATATTACGTCAATTTTGTTTTATAAGAATGAAGTATCAAATCATCTTAGATTAATATAAAATTTGATATATATGATCTAAGAGATATGAACTTT